TTAGAAGCTTAATAATATATATATATATATATATATATATATATATATATATATATATATATATATATTTAGTGAAGTATCATTTCCTGGTGACAGGTAGTAGAAATTACTTAACTGTTATATCAAGCTATGTTTGTTATGAGTGTGGATCTTTCTGCATGTTGGATCTAAGAGGGAAAAGATGAGCATTAACTTTGTTTCCTTTTTGTCTTATCTTGGCTGAGGAAGAAGTGACTTAGGGCATTTCTGATTTGTCGCTTGCTATTTGAAGATCAGCAGTGGCAGTTGTTTATATGTCTGTTGTTGTGTGCTCATAAATAATTACATTGGTCATACTACTACATGCCTATCTGGATGACTCATGTTACACATACCTGACCATAGCTCAGTTAGTACTCATTTAAAACACACATGAAAACCTACCACACTCCATCCAAAACATAGTAGTAGAAAATACAAGTATAATACCCTCATCCACATGTAAAAAAAGATTTAAAATAATGGAAGCCCTAATAATAAAAAAAGAAAAGCCAACACTCAATAACATTAACTATGAACATGGCCTCAATGTGCTGTGTTCAGAAAATAAAACATTCATTTAATTTTAGACACGTACATAAAAACAAAACACATATTTAATTAAAAATAAAAATTGCCCTTGATAATGGCTAAAAGAATAGCCAAAAGTGCTTGGATATGCAAAACCTTTGGACAGTTTTTACACACTTTGTGTTCAGAAATGAAAACACTTGTATGAAACACAAGAAAAATTAAATAAAAAGTTTAATTGTAGTACCTTGTTAGTCATCTTTAAAAAAACCATGTATAAAAGAGGGATTGCTGCCTAAAACACTGTGTGTGTGTGTGTGCGTGTATTCTATTGGGGACCTATGGTAAATGGGAAAAGAGAGAAAACTGGCCATTCTAAGTTCTTTTATTGAAGGCTAATGTTTTAGATTATTTATAGAATGGACCTCACTTATTTTTTTTTTCATTTAATTTAAATATTTGATTTAATCTTTTTTATGATTCATTCTAAAATTTGGCACCTGAAATAAATTTTATTAAATTTAGCTTACAAGATCTTATTTTTTGAGCTGGGATATGTTTTTAGATAGTGTAGTAGGAATTTGTTTGCATGCCTGGATTTGAAAAAAATATATATTATATTACAATAGAGTTGTACATATGACAAAAATATAGTTGTATGGTTTGGTTTATTTCGTTTTACGGCATATCAGCCTCAATGGGTTATTTAATGCCGACAACATTTTTAGGATAGATTCGTATGAATAGAGTATGTATTCTTTGGTTTACATTGGTTTGGTTTCTTTTGTTTTATGGCATGTCAACCTCAATGGGTTCTTTAATGCTGACAAAAAATTTTATTGCTGATAATATTTAGTTTTGTCAAAAATCTGTTTCTGGTAATATATTTCCTTCAAAATTGTATTGCTGGTAATAATTTTTTTCAAAAAAGTATTGCTGGTAATAGTTAACTATTTGCTCATAGTTGGGATGCCACCCCGGGTTAGGGTGGACCTGAAAACAGCAATTAAGAAGTGGCTCCATGCTCCTCAAAACCTCCTGATCAGAGGCCTTGCTGCTGGACGTAGTTTAACATCTTACCCAGGATGCGGATGTAGTTTAACGTCTTATCCAGGATGATAGTTGTATGGTATGCCATATTTTATATATTTGATGATATATGTGATGAACTGGACTCAAATATGGATTAAAATCTGAATGATAGAATAAAGACCAAATAGAAAATGTTTCTAATTTTAACATGCCCCACTTTTCATCAGAAATTAAATCATTCCGAAAAATTTCTGATGAAGCTTAAAAGGCAAAACATAAGGACAGTGCTATGTCTGCATGTGTACCTCTCAAAGAGGAAAGAGGTCCAAAATTGATTAGAACTCAGTGCAAAGAATGTACAACTCTATTGTGCATGGAATGCTTCAAAGAATATCATACAGTAAAAAAAATAATATGTATGTATATATATATATATATATATATATATATATATATATATATATATATATTTTTATTAAGAAATGGACAAAGTCCGACAATTTATTTATTAAAGACATTTTTATGTTTAACGTTCTTTTTTATAGATACAAGTATTTAAGTAAATGCTCTGTTTATAATAAACAGTATTAAATAACATTTACCGGCCTGAATGTCCGAGAAATTTTTCATAGAAAATATTCGTCCTTTGACAGGATTCGAACCTGCATCCTATACGGAACCGTCATTTATGCTGACGTGCCTTACCGACCGGTCACAAAGGAGCGTTCGGTAGACAAGGTCGAATTTACTGCTTATAAACTCCAATTTTCCATGAATCTCGTACATTCATAACTGCTCTGGCGTATCAAATGTAAACAAATGATGTCATATATTAAGAAATGGACAAAGTCCGACAATTTATTTATTAAAGACATTTTGGCCGATCAGTAAGGCACGTCAGTGTAAATGACAGTTCCGTATAGGATGCAGGTTCGAATCCTGTCAAAGGACGAATATTTTCTATGAAAAATTTCTCGGACATTCAGGCCGGTAAATGTTATTTAATACTGTTTATTATAAACAGAGCATTTACTTAAATACTTGTATCTATAAAAAGAACGTTAAACATAAAAATGTCTTTAATAAATATATATATATATATATATATATATATATATATATATATATATATATATAGGTTCAATTTAAGGAAATAACATTTGTTTTGTCTCCCTATCTTCTTTATTTTATAATCTAAAGGAGAGCAATAAGCGAGCAGTGCTAAATAAGAACGAGACGAAATATTCCTAGATATGGACAATGGAACAAGAACTGTCTACCTCCATAGATTAAACAAAGATGAGGACAACAGTCTGCATGTAAATAGTGTAAATAATGATAATTCCTCATCCTAGAAATTCAGACAGAATTTGACTCTAGAGCTGAAGCAATTGTACATAATAATTGTGAGTTCGATCACCAAGCCGGGAAGAGTATACTTGGACTCGGTTGAAAGAGGACAAGCAATAACTGAGCAGTGCTAAATAAGAACTAGAGATATCCCTAGAATAGGCTGTGGAATGAGAACAGTCTACTCCTGTTGATTAAATAAAGGATTCAATTCAGAATTCCCTGTAGGCTATTAGGATCAGCATACACCTGATGAAGGCCAGAGAGCTCAGCAGCTGAAATGTTGTGAAAACAACAACAAAGATGAGGACAATAGTTCACCTTTAATTATTCTAAAATATTTTTATAGTTTTGCATACTATTAAAGTGAAAATAAGCATAATAATCTACTTTAAATTTTTTTTTTTTTTACTTTGTTTGAAGTGTATGTTCATGCAACATTTTCTCATTGTTTAAGGATAAAAGTAGTTTTAAAATTCTTAACTTTGATTAATTTTATAAGCAACAGAACTAAGAAAATCGACATTCTTTTTCGTTTTTTGTATGAACAAATTATATTACTCAGTCTTGGAAAACTATATATACATTTTTATATATCAAGAACAATTTTAGGGAAATCTATGACAAAGTGGAAAAAGTTTTCATGTGATGAGTTTCATCCTTTATGACTTCAGAGTAAAGTGATATGTACACTCTTGTGCAAATTAATTGAAACAAAACAAATAATTCTGTTATTATTTACTTTATTTGTATTTTTCCAATGAAACAAGAGCCAGTGCACAGGTTAGTATTTTCTATGATCCTTCCACAAAGTTGTTCTTTGCAGATTGACTACAGATTCTCGATTGGATTTAAATCAGGAGAGTTTTCAGGCCAGTCTATAGATTGATTTGCTCACTGGTAAGGCTTGCCAGTGTATTTGTGCAGCATTACAATTTTTGTATGCTTCCTTGAAGTAATGTCCATCATAGACAATGGCCATAGGACAACTAATCGACAGTCAAGACAACAGTGTCTGAACGTGATAAAAATCTGATGCAATCACGGATGATGCAATATTTTTCAAGGCCAAAAAAATTTCATCATACAACCTGAAAACAGATTCATATTACAGCACACCACTCCAAATGACCTAATATGAAGAAAAAATTGATTACACCCTGTCACTCCAGTGGGTCTAAAACTGACTGTATGGTGAAAGAAAGGAAACTAAAGTGGTTGTGAACAATTAATTTGTACAAGGGTTACACTGATGTGACTAAATTTTCAGCATAAACTCTCCTTCATGCACATGTATAGTCATCTCAATGTATACATCACTTTAGTCTGATGAAGTCCAATAGGACGAAGCATGTTACACGGAAACTATTTTCACTTTGTCATAGATTTCCCTGAAATTACTCAGTAATGATGTGTTTCCACTATTCTCTATGTCTTGTCTCTTTGATAAAAATCGATACTGTGTTCATTTGGTATACAAAATTCAATATTCAAAAATTTGAATTTTGATTGGAGTTTTATGTCACTTTTTCTTTCATTGTTTTGCTCCATTTGTTCTTTGCCTGAAGAAGGACAAAAAACAGGCTGAAGGGGAAGTTTATTGATTTAAAAACATTAATTTACATAACTATTTGTCTTGGTTGAACAGATAATGTTATGAATATTGTTAGATCAGCAAAGTTGAAAATTAAGGGTGACCACTGAAAAAATAATATTTGAGAAGACCAATACAGTATTACCAAAAATATGTCTACAACAAAATATCTAGCATAGCCTAAAAATGGATAAAGCCAACTAAATATATGTGAGGCCAAAATTTTTAAATTTTGATAATTTTTGGCAAGGTTCAGTAGATTATTTTGTTGAATAATCCTTCAGTTTATGGGAGATGAAACCACTACTTTACTATGTTACTTTTTATTACAAAATGTAGGCAGAAAATATTTCAGACTTCATTCTTCATGGTTTGCTCATCTGCAGTTCATGTTTAGTGGGAAAGGGATGTATGTTTTCTGTCCAGATTTTCTGGAGAGATCAATTCCAGATCTCTGCTCTTTTCATTTCGGCAGGACGAAGACATGCGTTTTCTGCCCAGATTTTCTGGAGAGATCAATTCCAGATCTCTGCTCTTTTCATTTTGGCAGGACAAAGACATGCGTTTTCTGCCCAGATTTTCTGGAGAGATCAATTCCAGATCTCTGCTCTTTTCATTTCGGCAGGACAAAGACATGCGTTTTCTGCCCAGATTTTCTGGAGAGATCAATTCCAGATCTCTGCTCTTTTCATTCGGCAGGGGGGCGAAGACATCGTTTTCTGCCCAGATTTTCTGGAGAGATCAATTCCAGATCTCTGCTCTTTTCATTTGGCAGGACAAAGACATGCGTTTTCTGCCCAGATTTTCTGGAGAGATCAATTCCAGATCTCTGCTCTTTTTCATTTTGGCAGGACAAAGACATGCGTTTTCTGCCCAGATTTTCTGGAGAGATCAATTCCAGATCTCTGCTCTTTTCATTTTGGCAGGACAAAGACATGCGTTTTCTGCCCAGATTTTCTGGAGAGATCAATTCCAGATCTCTGCTCTTTTCATTTCGCAGGACGAAGACATGCGTTTTTTCTGCCCAGATTTTCTGGAGAGATCAATTCCAGATCTCTGCTCTTTTCATTTCGGGCAGGACGAAGACATGCGTTTTCTGCCCAGATTTTCTGGAGAGATCAATTCCAGATCTCTGCTCTTTTCATTTCGGCAGGACGAAGACATGCGTTTTCTGCCCAGATTTTCTGGAGAGATCAATTCCAGATCTCTGCTCTTTTCATTTCGGCAGGACGAAGACATGCGTTTTCTGCCCAGATTTTCTGGAGAGATCAATTCCAGATCTCTGCTCTTTTCATTTTGGCAGGACGAAGACATGCGTTTTCTGCCCAGATTTTCTGGAGAGATCAATTCCAGATCTCTGCTCTTTTCATTTTGGCAGGACGAAGACATGCGTTTTCTGCCCAGATTTTCTGGAGAGATCAATTCCAGATCTCTGCTCTTTTCATTTCGGCAGGATGTGTTTGCTGTCCAAATTTATAGCTTCATCTACCACAAGGAAAATTGGTTCCCTGTGTCACACCAGAAGGTTTTTTTCACCTGAGTCCATCTTTCAAATCTACAAATCAACCATTCATCCTTGCATGGAATACTGCTGCCATATATGGTCTGGTGTCCTCACTGTTCATCTCAAGGTCCTCAACAAAATCCAGAGATGAATATGCAATGTGGTTGGTCCTGATCTGGCATCCCATCTGCAGTCACTATCTCACCAACATGCTGTGGCTTCCCTATGTCTTTTCTATAATCTAGCGTATTGTTTTTACAAACGTAAACAAATGCCAAGCAGCCATAGTGCTCCATTCATTTTACTGAAGAGCTTCGCATTTATGCAGGTGACCATTGTTTTTAGAATTAGCTTGTCATTCAACATTGCTCAATTGAAAATATATTTTCAAGAGCTAAATTATATATATATATATATATATATATGAGCGAGAGAGAGGTGTCTTTGAACCTACAGTTGTGGCTGTAAGTTTTGTTGGTGGATGGAATTGGATAGATAATTGAAGATAGTGCTTTTGAAGTTGTTTGAGAACCCAATCTACCCTTCTATTTAACCCATAGCTGAGGAAAAAGAGATGGATTCATGCCTTTTCCAAGGGAATTTAGATGAAAGTAAATACATGATTTGAATTTGAAATTGTACTATTTCCTTTTCCACCATAGATAACTGTTACACTACTTGTACATCTCAAATAATTAACAATTTCAATTTCATTGCAATTAGTATTAAAATCCTTTTTTAATCATTTCACTCTAAGTAAGGCAATAAAGCTACTAAGACACAAGAGGGTTACTGAGTGTTAGAGAATATGAGAAAAAATGCTATTAAGGTGAGAGAACAATAAAATAAGAATTAAGACAAGATAACAATCGGCATTCTATTCAAGTTTTTGAAGATCAAACTTAACTGAAATGAAAAAAGCTGGAAGAGAGTTCCATAAGTACTATAGAAAAACCCATTAGCATAGAACATATGGTTAAATCTAGCCATTTCTACTGTAAGATGAGACATTGCTACCAATCTAATCTAGGTATCATAAGAGAAAGTTCATCAGAACAATTACCAGGAAAGTATTTATAGAAAAAGCAGAGGGGAGCTATATTACAACAAAGGGAAAGTGACTGAAGCCGAAATGTCATGCCAGGACCAATAACATTTCAAATTCTTCTTTGGATTTTATCAAGGATCTCTAAATGTATAGCAGTAGCACCAGATCAAATGTGGAAGCAGTATTCAAAGCAAGGGTGAATGGTAAACTTATAAATATATAAGATAGATTCTGGTGAGAAAAATTGTCTAGCACAACACAGTGAACCCACTTTCCTAGCAGCAGACCTAGCAATTGATTCAATAGAATCATTCCTCTTTATGTTAACAGAAAACGTTAGCCCAAGAAACATTATAGTTTAAACATTATATTTTGTAGCATTATAGTTTAAACAATAGGTTTTCACATTATCTATGAATATTAATAGAAATTTCATGCATATGTAATTTTCTTTTGTTATATTTCTCACTATGATATGGGTTGTAAATCTATATTGTAAGTGATATCTTTCTTCTTAACCTCATTCTGTTCATAGTCCGTTCACTCATTCTCTTATTCATAGTCCGTTCACTCATTCTCTTATTCATAGTCCGTTCACTCATTCTCTTATTCATAGTCCGTTCACTCATTCTCTTATTCATAGTCCGTTCACTCATTCTCTTATTCATAGTCCGTTCACTCATTCTCTTATTCATAGTCATTCTCTTATTCATAGTCCGTTTCTCTCATTCTCTCATTCTCTTATTCATAGTCCGTTCACTTTCTCTTATTCATAGTCCGTTCACTCATTCTCTTATTCATAGTCCGTTCACTCATTCTCTTATTCATAGTCCGTTCCTCATTCTCTTATTCATAGTCCGTTCACTCATTCTCTTATTCATAGTCCGTTCACTCATTCTCTTATTCATAGTCCGTTCACTCATTCTCTTATTCATAGTCCGTTCACTCATTCTCTTATTCATAGTCCGTTCACTCATTCTCTTATTCATAGTCCGTTCACTCATTCTCTTATTCATAGTCCGTTCACTCATTCTCTTCCGTTCATATTCCGTTTCATAGTCCGCTTCTCATTCTCTTATTCATAGTCCGTTCACTCATTCTCTTATTCATAGTCCGTTCACTCATTCTCTTATTCATAGTCCGTTCACTCATTCTCTTATTCATAGTCCGTTCCTCATTCTCTTTTCATAGTCCGTCATTTCTCTTATTCATTCACTCATTCTCTTATTCATAGTCCGTTCACTCATTCTCTTATTCATAGTCCGTTCACTCATTCTCTTATTCATAGTCCGTTCACTCATTCTCTTATTCATAGTCCGTTCACTCATTCTCTTATTCATAGTCCGTTCACTCATTCTCTTATTCATAGTCCGTTCACTCATTCTCTTATTCATAGTCCGTTCACTCATTCTCTTATTCATAGTCCGTTCACTCATTCTCTTATTCATAGTCCGTTCACTCATTCTCTTATTCATAGTCCGTTCACTCATTCTCTTATTCATAGTCCGTTCACTCATTCTCAAGTTCCACAGACAAGAAATGTGAAAATAGAAACTTAGAATTATGAATACGTCTATGCTGCCTTAATGACAAACTAACAATTTGGATAATTTAATAATCTTTCAAAAGAATGTTAAAAGCCAAGCTTAGACAATATATATATATATATATAAGTAGTTTAAATACCTTACATAAAACATAACCCTTTATGAAGTCGTCAAAAAACAAACGTTACGAAAGTTTTTCTTTTTTTATATGCACAATTCCCTTTCATAATAAAATAAAATAAATAAATAAATCTCCATAGACAAGCAAACTAGACGAAGGTTAATACATTTTCCGTTTCATTTTAGACACCCCACCTTTCCCCGACTTGACATCTTGAAAGTATCTCTATACCGCTACTTATTATTAACACCCTACTCTCGCCTACCCAATTTAGACAATTAAGCCCTAGCTGTTACCATGGAGATTTTGATTTCAATTTTAAAAACAAGTAAATTTCAGATATCGTTATTCCAACAAAATTTAAACTTGAAGATGGAACGGAGCCCATTTTAATTTAAACTCAATTTAATTTAAAGGATTATATTGAAGTTTTTAAATCTTGTTTTGAAACATGAGACCTCCTATGTAGCGATTTGGAATCATATTTTAAATAAATAATTAATATATATATATATATATATATATATATATATGTGTGTGTGCAGGTATGCAGAAAATAGAAAAGAACATGCTGGGTGCATAATCCGGAGTTCCTTAGTATTTTTGTTTTTAAGAAGACAGTGCTCCATACAGAAGTAGAGCTTAATTATAATATTTTTTATCATATTTTAAACAAAAATATTATATATATATATATATATATATATATATTTTTTAACTGACAAATTATATTTCTCATTTCAGAAAAGAATTAAATAATGAAAGTTGTTATTTAAATTTTATTTTTTATTTGTAAAACCTTTTTTTTTCTTTTATACTTCCTTCAATTCTTTCTTTTCTCTTTAAATAACAGACAGTGAAAAGGCTTATTGGTTTAAGAATTGCAATTAAAATAATTATTTCTCAAAAAAAGAAGAAAAGATACATTTGTCATAGCTGACTGTCAGAATGAGTGAAAGAAGCAAAAGTTGAAATTGATACCTTGATTAATTTATCATATAATGTGTCTAATTAATTAATTACTGTAATTGAAAGAGAACTTCTTGAAAGTGAAATGCCCACTCATTTTCTTTTTTTTTCTTTCTTCTCTTGCAGATTACATGAATAAGGCCCCCAAGGTTCGAGCACCAATAGGCAGTGTCTACGCAGCAGTCGGGACCATTTTCAAATTCCAAATTCCAAAGAACACATTCCATGATCATGAAGATGGTAACACCAGACGGCTTACACTTGATGTGTCATTTCACTGGGAGCCACGACGACCCCCAAGCAACATAAACAACTGGTTGGAATTTGATGAAGTGTCCCAGACACTGACTGGATTACCATTAGGAGAAGAAATTAAGCAAAGTCCAATGGAAGTGACAATTAATGCGTTAGACAAAGGAGGAAAACTTGCTCAGGATGTTATTATGATCTATATCAATTCCACTGTGGTCGACCTGAATCCGACATACGAGTTTGTTATGAAGTTTGAGGTGAATGGTAAGAAATTTCTAGCTGAACGCAAACATATGAGAAACTTGATGAAGAAAGTGAGCTCCTTTTTCGGTGATCAAGATTCAAGCTACATCACAATTCTCGATGCTAGGCCAGGTTCTTTGATTCTTACTTGGACAAATAATAGCATACCAACAGACACTTGTGATAACGCAACAATTCAGGAACAAAGAAAAAAAATCTTTGATGATAATGACCACATCAATCCAAAATTCAGAAAATACATGTCACCACGGTTCACTGTCCTTAGTGCTGAATTTAATCTAGATGGTGCATGCTTGGATACTGGAACCGAACCTGGTATGCCAAGTGAAACAGAGACAGGGGACGTGACAGAGGTGAACCCCTGGGCTGAAGCAATTATACCAACTGTCATTGCAGTGGCTATTGCAATTTTTATAGTAGTTGTTATTCTTTTGATCTGCAGTCGAAAACAACGGCAGAAAAAAAATCAGAAAAACGAACAAAGGAATTCATTTGAGGACCAAGATCCTGTCATGTTCCATAGTGAGCGGTCAAATCCGGATCGTGGAATGCGTGCAAAACGGGCTGTTATTCTGCCTGGAGATGTAAATTCAAAGACTTCTGGACATCGGAATTTCTCCCCATATCAAGCATCTGGATTTGGAGAACCAGATAATTGTTCAGATGATGAAGAAGAGGATGAGTCGGGACGTTACTCATATAATAATGGCTCAACTAACCCTCCTCCACCTTATAGACTACCCCCTCCATATTACCCAGAAAGTGGGTCTTCTTATGTGTGAATATAAGATTTTTCTTTGGTTTTAAATAAATACATTTAAACTTTTTTTTTTTAAATCACTTTCCTTAAGATTTTTTGAAGAAATAATTAAATTAAAAAGTAAAAACAATAAAAACAACAAAGAGAAACATTATTAAAATATTTCAAGTACATGTGTTGACATGGAGAACTGTGTATACACACAAACACTGATAGAATAGAGTATATGTATGCTTGTATATAGAAACACATAGTGACCAAGAACTGTGTGTGTGTATGTGTGTGCATATATATATATATATATATATATATATATATATATATATATACACACACACACATACATACATACACACACACATACATACATACACACACACTGACATACAATCACACACATTATTTTTATGAATGTATACATGCATACTGATAGCTGGAGTAGAATTGTGTATGTATGTATGTGTATACACTCACATGTCATACTGAATAAAATCGCTTGTTTTTGCACACACACACATACATACATTCATTATATAAAAAACAAAGATTATGTTTTTCACAAAAAACAGAAAAGAAAAAAGTGGTGACCAATTTCTGGGTGATAACATTTTTAAGGCAAGCAGTTTTTGTAATTAGAGTGCTTGATATATCGAGAGATAAAACATTAACCGTAACAAATGAAATTATATGCTCACTTATTTTGTCCCTACTTTGAATTTTCACAAGATTACATCTACTGATCAGAGGACTTGATTGACAAATGAGGTGTAATTTCCACAACATTATGAGCAGGAACAAGAGATGTGAACATTTCATTTTTTTTTTACTACATATACAATTACACACCCATATATATATATATATATATATATATATATATATATATATATATATATAGAGAGAGAAAAAAAAAAAGGGAATATGTGCCTGTATATATACATATATATGCATGCATATTTGCATTTTCACTTTATTAATATGGGCAAAAAAGTAGCCTGAAATTTTGAGTTATATAATGTTAGATTAGAGACAGAAAAACTAACACAGGAGAATGAAAATTTACTTTAAACCAATTAACCAATCTTTTATTTGGCTTATTCTGTAATCATAAATTTACCAAATATGGTCACATAAAAATATACTTAAGAATATCTCTACACACACATATCTATATATATGTGTGTCTGTCTGTGTGTGTGCGTGTGTGAACACAAACTGAATCTGCCAAATTCCTTCCCTATGTTTTCCCATCATTTTCATGTGAAGACATTCAAAATTTATATTGTCTCCGTGATATACCGATATATTTGGACAAGAAAATATATTATCTCATTAAAAAAAAAAAAAAAGAAATAAAAAAACATTTAGCAGAATTCCTTGCCAGAATATGAAATCAATGTCTGAAATTCCAAGATAAACATCAACCAAGTAAGTCTTCAGCTTGCGTGGAGGAAAAAAGACTAACAGCCAGTTATTGATAAAAGTCTTTAACTTGACAATTGATAAGCCCAGCCACCAGCTTTGAAAACAGAACAGAAGCAGAGCTTCTAAGAAAGCCTTTATTAATGACCCTGAATTCAGGCATGGTTTTAGGGCTCACCATTAATACTAATGTAAGGAACAACAGCAATACCACATGATATCAGCAGATCTTGTTGGTTTTCTAATATTATGAAATTAGCCAATTTAGAAATATTAACCTCTGTCTGGTCTTGGAATAGATCTTTATACAATTCTTTTTCTCTGATGAACACCTGGCAAGTTTAGCTGAGTTGGTTATAGGATATATATTCACTATCATTATATGTAATCCTTCACTCTTCTTGTGGAGTTCCATAGTTTCCTGTTAACATTCTTCTCCCCAGATATGTGCCAATTCCTGAGATGGAACAATTTACAGATTCTAGCATGAGAACTCTGGGATAACTCAAATAAATGGTTGAGTCAGTTTGAAAAACACCAGACCATACATACTGAAAAGGCTAATGTCTATACCAGTCTCAGGCCTGTTGGTATGGCAAACCTGAATCAACAATTTTTAATCATTTTCTGACTAGGCTGAGAAAATACCTCAGCTTCTAAATCAGGCTTCAAATACTAGCAAGATTCCATACAGGTATTGGAGATTTTACAATTATGTAAATGATAACTTGGCATGGGTTTTAGAATGAACCATTGCCACTCACCCCATCTATACCTCATGATATCCTTAGGTTTTGTCAGCATAAGAACGTCCGAGCCATGTGAATGCTACTGTCTGATCTTGAAAGTTCTGTATATACTTTCTCTTTCCTAATATAGATATGCAAAGTTTAGACAAGACACAAAAGAGTACTTGAGAAACTCTTGACCATTTCAGAAACATACTCATCATCCGATCATTACTCCTGCATTGTTTTTGCAGGTTTTTATCTTTCTCTAAATTACTTAAATAAGCCAAATCAATATTTTCCTCAAAAAAGAAACATCAATAAAATGAACCTTTTTAGCTTGAATCATTAGTTTTAATATCACACAATCCCTTGCCATGTTATCAAAGGACAACTCCCATAATATCAGTAAACTGGGTTCAGAAATTTTTGTTGTGATAGTGATCTTAACTTAGTGCCCAGTTCATAAAGCCTTGTGCCAAATGAGGATAAAATTAAAGTTTATATTGGACACCTATCATAAAGCCATTTTTAACAGTATCTCATTAGGCATTATTACTAGCTCTGATCTTCATTAGGTGTTCCAATATTGTGGCCTTGTGTCAAATGAAACTAAGCTAAAAAATATATACTGGATATAACAGCAAAATTGTCTAATTGTTAGATTAATATTTGAAATGTTGTATCTGAGAAATGATTAAATATATCTTACTGGAATTCTCTGAGTTTTTATAACACTATTGGACTCTACTTTGAACAATATGAATGGATTTCGCTCTAAGTTGAAATGATGATCCCTCTTCCTGTTGTGACCTCCAGATCCAGTTTTCCTCTCTACTGTTCCCTTTCTTTTTTAAATTATTCACTGATCTCTTAATGATTTTTGAATGGATTTTGAAGATGGAAGCAGAGTATGAATGTTGGTACCATTACTGAAGGCCTGAATGATCTTTTTCCTCTCATCATTGCTCAGTTGGAAAGATATAGTGGGACTGACACAAAATGATTTTAAACCTGTTCTCTTTCTAGCTGAATAACTCAGAGGGTTTCTCAGTGATTCTTACGACAAATGGTGTCAAGATGGCTAAACGTCTTATCTGAAAACCTGGAAAAAAGAAACTCAGTTTAGTGTTTTTTTTTTTTTAGATATTAAACATTTTGTGGGATGGACAATTATCCCATGCTTTTATCCAATTCGGACAGTTTTGCTGTTACACCTACTGTGCATATATATATATATATATATATATATATATATATATATATATATATATAGAGAGAGAGAGAGAGAGGACACTTGTCATAGAGCAATTGTTACTGAGTGAGTTAGTTTAACCAGTCATTGTTATATAGTGATCTGTATTGTGGTTCACTATTGCAGCCTTGTGCCAGACAAGACCAGGAATGGTAAACATTTAAAAGTGCCTTCAAAAGATCTTGCCTAGAATTATCCTCTTCCTAAATCTATGCTAGCACTTTACATCCTATTATTATGGCCTTCTGCCAAACTTGGCTAAAACTAAATATATAATGAGTACCATTGATCTTTGGTAAACAAGCTATCGCTATGAAGTTTGGTTCTTAAGCAAGTGCGCCCTGATTAAGCAAAGCTAACTTAGAGTGCCTTAGAGTGCCTGAGATATGATTAGTCAACTAATGGTTTGTGGGTTTAATTCATAATTGGTACCCAGTAGCTTAGAACCAGAATACACTGAGGCTCAAGCAATGGTTAGTAACATTGTATTACAAGCCATTGATAGTGATTTTGAGCATCACTGAATGCCTAGATATTCTGACAGTGTGTCAAACAAATTACTTGTGTTGGTTTTTAAAACTTTCACTGCTGTAGATGTACTTATATATTGCCTGCTGTTGGTGTATATATACATTTTCAAGATACCGTGAAATGTTAGTCCTTGTGTTATAAAATAGTGCATTTCCAAAACAGTGTAGATATATAGTAGCATGCAATAGCACCTAGTTTGTGACATATTTTTCCCTATACTGTGTGTTGGGAGAAGTCATTTGGCTTACTCTGTACTGCTGTGTATCCAACCAAAACCAAAATAGTAGCACCTATCTTGTTAGCCATTTATTTCTTGGAAATAGCAATTACATATTTCCCCCAATATGGACCAGCACAGCCAGGCAATAATGCTATAACAATGCAGAAGTGAAAGGGTTAAGAGAAGCTTGTAAATATATTGGGGTGCATCAAAAGCATTTTCATTTTTTAATTGGCAGTATGGCTTTTTTTTTTCTTTAAAGCTTAAGTAATGACCTCCATATGGTATCTTTCAATGATCTTCTGCACGATTTTAAAGGCCTTTAATAACAAAAAACAACTTTTGATACATCATAATATATATTAAAATAATATGTAACTGTCTATATTTCTGAGATGAGCTATTATTTACATTATTCGGACTACTGTCCTCATCTTTGTTGCCATATTTATTACATTAATGTAAATAATGTAAAATAATATGGTCATGTATGTTGGTTGGTTGGTTTTTATGGCATATCAACCACTGTAGGTCATTTAATGCCAAATTTAGTTTTTATATATATATATATATATATATATATATATATATATAAATATATAGGACTTGTAAACGTCTATAAGCTATATAAGCTAGGGCTTATTTGCTTGCACACAGCAAAATAATTCCAGGTATTACTGTCTAGGACAAGGATTTCCATTTAGTAAAGACAATTTGCACAATGTTAAAAGGTAGCATATATTAATTACACATCAGATTACATCCTTTCAAGAAGTTTATTATATGACTTGGATCAATTTTTGTAAATAGTTCCTTTGTACTCTTAATGTTGTAGAACTTGCTTCGGATGTGTGTAAGGTTTGTGTATTCTATCAGTATATGTTTTACTGTGTATTGGCTTCCCCAGGGACACCTAGGAGGAGGCCCACCTTCTAGTATGAAGGAAGGAGTCTAGTGTGTCCAGTGCGTAACCGAGTAAGGGTGGTTTCTTCTCTTCTTGTATTATTAAGATTCAGTTTCCTTTCTTTTAAAATGGGTTCTATTTGGTAGAGCTTATTGTGGGTATTTTTGTCCCATAGTTGTTGCCATTTTTGCATCATTATTTTCTTGATTTCATGTTTTAGGTCAGTATATGGAATTTTGAAGTTCTGGTTCAATGTCATGTTAAGTGCTGCTTTTGCTAAATAGTCATAACGATATGGCATATGTATGGTCATAGTGATAACATCACACAGTAAGTTCATAAAGATAGCAAGATCATAATGATAAAATAATGGAGCAAGGTCATATAATATTATAATGTAGCAAGATCATAACGATAATATAATGTAGCAAGGTCATAACGATAATATAATGTAGCAAGGTCATAACGATAATATAATGTAGCAAGGTCATAACGATAATATAATGTAGCAAGGTCATAACGATAATATAATGTAGCAAGGCTGTAATGATAACAATGTAATAAAGTCACAAACAGACTTTTGAAGTACACTTGAAATAAGCTTTGATGTAAAAATCTGCAAAAAATGAAAATACTTTTGATACACCTTAAACTGACTGAAATATGTCTATACCTTATCAAAAAAATTATCTTTGAACAAAAAAAAAACAAAAAAAAACAAAACATATATACTCTGTATGATGGATAAAAGTAACAACAAAAATTGTCATATTCAATCAATATTTTGATAATTATCAACTTTGTATTTTCAAGTCAAAAGATTTATTTAAATAAAATGATAATACAAACAAAATCAAATGGCTTTTGGTTTTTAACCACATGGGAGTGCCTGATGAAATATCTTAAAGGAAATTTTTATTTTCCTGAGGTCTTCTTATTTGATCATTCAAGAACCATTCATAAAAGAATGAAACAATTGTCATGGAGTGGCTAACAAGATCTTTCTCTTGTATATATTTTAATGAAGCAATAGAAGCAGATATACAAGGTAACCAAAAAAGTTCTGTCCGTTTTTTGATTAGTCATTGAATGAAGTTGAAATATATATGAAATGCATGTAGCAATTGTTTTCAAATTCGGACAGCCGGAAGTAGGAACATCAGATGTTATAAAAAACATGCGCATCTTGCCCTGCCATCAGTTATAAGCCAGACAGCTGTGAGAAGGATGGAAGTGTCTAGAGATCTCATTTGGGGCTGTTTGCTTTACGACTTCAAAGTGGGCTTATCAGGAGCTGCATCAAGTCGCCGCATATGTCAAGCATTTGGGGATAGTGCTGTGGATGAACGTACTGCAAGGCGTTGGTTTCGAAAATTCAAGTCGGGAGATTTGTCTCTCCATGATGAGCCTCACAGTGGACGACCACAGGTCTTGAATGACGGAGTCCTGAAGGCGGCCATTGAAGAGGACAGTAGACTAACGTGTGGTGAACTTGCAAGACAGTTCAACGTTTCCGATGAAACAGACTTCACCTGCACCGCCTAGGTAAGATGTACAAACTTAGCAAGTGGGTTCCACAAACGCTGTTGGAGGTCCAAAAGGGACAACGAGTGGCAGCCTGCATATTGCTGCTTTCTTGCCACCGTACCGAATCCTTATTCAATCGAGTGCTTACCAGTGATGAAAAGTGGGTTCTGTACGAAACTTCCAAGCATTCCAGACATTGGTTGTCTCCTCAGGATGCTGTCCCTAACACCGCAAGACCGCCTATGCACCCACGCAAGATTATGCTTTGTGTCTGATGGACAAGTCGTCAAGTGGTTCATTATGAACTACTACCAACGGGCCAAACGGTCACTGGAGACCTATACTCGCAGCAATTGAAACGTGTGCAACAGGCACTGTGCCAGAAGGAGCCAGCACTGGTGAATTGCAAAGGTGTGCTTTTCCTCCATGACAATGCCAGGCCACATGTCGCGCAAGTGGTCAGGGATACCATACAGCAACTTGGGTGGGAGACATTGTGCCATCCACCTTATTCACCTGACCTTGAGCCATCCGATTACCACCTCTTCCACTCCCTGGATAATCATCTTTGTGGGAAATTCTTCACCAATGAAGCAGACTTGCGCAAAGCCCTCACAGACTTCTTTGCGTCAACCACCCAGTTCTACATCAAGGGCATTGAACAGCTGGAGACACGGCAGAAGGTGCTGGATGCCGATGGTGATTACTTCGAAGACTAAATATAAGTTACACAGTGTGAAACGTTTTCTTTTTTTCCTTTAAAAATGGACAGAACTTTTTGGGTTACCTTGTAATTAAAAGAGTGAAGATTGATGATAAGAGTCCAGGTCTAGTTTAAAATGTCAGTAGTTCCTCTAGGCTAGTAAAGTCAAAGTGCCAAGAGAGAAATCACAGCTGTTTAAATAGTATCTAATGACCCAATCCACCCTGTGCAGAAGGGGGAAACAAGTCTATGCTCCTGCTGCCGACACTGCTGATAGGAACAGTCCATTAAGTTGGGGAGGGGGGAGATAACTGGTTATACCAGCTACAATAAACAATATTTAACAAAAGAAAAAAAATCATCTTTTTAAAAAAAATCATTCCAACTAAAGCAAGACAATTATGCTACTAAGGATGCAAGGGGTTACTGAGTGTTAGAGAATACAAGAAAAGCTATTGTTATGAAGAGAGGACAATAAAAGTATAGGAATTAAGAAGACATAACTACTGACATTGCATTTAAATTTTTGAAACTAAAATTTGAGTGGGAAGTAAGACACCGGAAGAGAAAACCACTGGTCAGTGTTAGTCCGCCTACATATTCCTTTTAACATTCTAACTATAAGCCATTCTCTGTTTTTGAAAAGCATTCTTGTCTGTTAAATGCAATCTGTCCTAGAGAAATGGCCACCAGTCAGAGACAAAACTCTCAGAGCCTCCCCAAGCTATCTTGGGCATCGATACAAAAAATGAAGGTAAGAAGAATACTAAAGAACCTACTCAACAGGAAGGGTTCACCTCCACTGACTTTTCTGTTTTTATTTATTTTTAATCATTTCATCCCAAGCAAGGTGATAAAGCTACTGAGAGACAACTGTTTAGAGATATGGACAGGTGCCGGGCCGGAGAGAGAAAGAGATATGGACAGGTGCCGGGCCGGAGAGAGAAAGAGATAGGGACACGTGCCGGGCCGGAGAGAGAAAGAGATAGGGACACGTGCCGGGCTGGAGAGAGAAAGAGATAGGGACACGTGCCGGGCCGGGCCGGAGAGAGAAAGAGATAGGGACACATGCCGGGCTGGGCCGGGCTGGAGAGAGAAAGAGTTAGGGACACATGCCGGGCCGGAGAGAGAAAGAGATAGGGACACGTGCGGGCGGAGAGAGAAAGAGATAGGGACATGTGCGGGCGGGGCGGAGAGAGAAAAGAGTAGGGACACATGCCGGGCCGGGCCGGAGAGAGAAAGAGATAGGGACACGTGCCGGGCCGGAGAGAGAAAGAGATAGGGACACGTGCCGGGCCGGGTCGGAGAGAGAAAGAGATAGGGACCCGGCCTGGCCCGGCCCGGGCCGGAGAGAGATATAAACAGAAACCAAGAGAGACAGATAGATATTGACAAACAAAAAAAAAAGTAACAAATGTAGGTAATATTATAACATATGCTGGGTGGGAGAGAGATATGAACAGATTCCTGGCAGGAGAGAGAGACATGGACAGATTCCTGGCAGGACAGAGAGATATGGATAGAAACTGAGAGGGAGAGAGATATTGACATGGAAGACAGCGATGGACAAAAAAGGTAACAAATATAGGTTAAATTCTCAACATTAAGGCTTCATCAACTTCAACTTTTCTGTTTTTATTTATTTACTAGCAGTAGAGCCCCGCGTTGCCCAGGGATGTAACAGTAAGAGATAGATCAAGTATCAACCATCATAAAGACTGAAAAATAAAATTGACAAAGATTATTGTTTAAGGTTGACGGACACGCATGTCTTAATTAGGTTTTGTTTTTTGTTTTGTTTTTGATTTTTTTTTTTACGAATTGGTCAAACCCAAACTCAAACAAAAACATTGTTTTCAATCATTATGAGTCTACTGATTGAATAGAATTTTATTATAAACAATTGTCTTGTAAATGGAATTTTTAAAACATTCTGAATGTAAAAATAAAGAAAAAAGTGTGCAAGACAATAAGAAACACTACCTGCCAAAAAAAAAAGTTAAGTTTTGTTGAAATCAGTTGAAAAATGTAGGAAATCCAATCCCATATATAAATGAAACACACACACACAAACAACCTGGGTTTTATAATAAGTATAACTCGATATGAGTTGTCCCCCTTTCATTAATGCCTCTTAATTGTGTTTTCAAATTGATTTCATGCAAAACAATTGTGTTTTTCCAATTTTTGGCACTGTCAGAACCACCGCAAGGTAATTTTACATAGTCCTGTGAAGTTTTGTTGAAATCGGTTGAAAAATGTAGGAAATCCGATCCAATATATAAACGAACAGACACACGCACACAACCTGGGTTTTATAATAAGTATGATTTTTAATCATTTCACCCCAAGCAAGGTAGCAAAGCCACTCAGAACTGGTTACAGAGGATGAAAGACAAAAGACTTAATAGAAAAGAAAAAACAAACTTTTTTCTTGAGAGATTTTTTGTAAGATGACACCTTACAAATTTTATGGTCTCTCAGGTGATATCCTCATATTTCCATATTCTTCTGTTTTGTTTTACTATTTTTGAGTCTATTCATTTTTTTTTAGTATTTGACAGTTTTTTTTTTTGTCTGTCAAGAAGAGATTCTTTTTTTATTTGACCAATTATTTTAGCTGAATAATATTTTTTTAACTATAACCTTTGGGATTTGTACATAATAATAGGACATAAGAGTCATTGTTTATTAGAGAAAGATGACATACACACACAGAGAAATGGGTTCTTCTAAAATATAGACTAAATAATTTGACTTCACAGGAAGAAAACATTTTATTTATTCATTCCACCCCAAGACAATAAAGCCACAAAAATGCAAGAGGTTACTGAGTGTTAGTGTTATAGTGGAACATACCTATTCTACTGTTAATAGACTCTCCCACCTATAATAAATAGGAGTAGTAGCAGTCGATCAGGGAGTTGGTCAGTCAGTTGACTGGCTGATCTGTTGAACTGTCTGCCTTCGGGCGGGGAGGAACCCAAAGGAGGCTACGCCGAAGGGCAAATTCTCTTTCGGGGAGGTAAACTGACCCTGAGCCCGTTTATACGGGTTCAACGGGCATATTTTTGGCCGAGCCCACAGGCTCGGAGATCCCATGTTAAACCGGCCTTGTGCCACATGATGCCCCCGTGGCAGGGTGACTAAATATCGTTGGTCAGTCAGTCGATGTCGGACACTAAAAGTATCAGTGACCACCACTAGATTTCTCTGCGTCATTACCTATTATATCAAGTTCCTAACGTTTTGTACATCGAACCTATTTTAGGACCGACTTAGTACAAATACAAGCCTCCACTGTGAAACCACTGTACAACAGTTAGAGAACATAAAAAACTACTATTAACAAGAGAGGACAAAAAAAAAAGAATTTAGAAGACAGAACATAACAATTGACATTGCATTTAAATTTTTGAAGGTCACAGTTGACTGGGAAGCAAGAAACCAGAAGAGAGTTCCACAAGTGAGAAGTGTGAAAGAAGAAACTGTTAGCATAGAACTTATGGTTACATCTAGCCATTTCAACTGTAAATTGATGAGACCTTGCTGCGAATCTGGTTTGGTTTACAGCATATCAGCCTCAATGGGTTATTTAATGCCGGCAAGATTTTTATTGCTGGTAATATTTTTTTTCCAAAAATGTATTGCTGGTAACATTTTTTTCAAAAAATGTATTGCTGGTATTTAAACCTATTTTTACACTTTCATAATACTTTGACTCCAGTTTGGGAGTTAACTATTTGCTCATAGCTGGGACCCTAAATTACAGCAATGGGAAAATGAAGCAGAGATGCCAGGTCAGGACCAATAATGTTGCTGATTCTTTGGATTTTTATCAAGAATCTCTAAATATACAGTGGGAGCACTAGACCAGATGGGGCAGCAGTATTCAAAGCTTCGACAAATGGTAGACTTACAAAATATGCAAGATAGAGAAAAATTGTATTGCACAACACAATGACCTGTCTTTCTTCGTAGCAGTCCTTGCAATGGATTTAATATAGTCTTTTTACTTCATATCAGCTGAGAATGTTAGTCCAAGTAAGCATTACAGATCCCTCTTATGGAGGTTAGCATCAGCATTATACTGAAGGGAGACAGGAAGGCGTCTTTTAGGTGATTAATAAAGAGAAGTTTTGTTTTGGTAGCATTAAAATTAACAAGCCATTCCTTGTCCCAGTTAACAAGAAACTGTATATCATTTTTAGATCATCAGCCAACTTCACCTTATCGAACTGATCAGACTTATTACTAAGACAGGAATAAATGGTTGGGACACTAACATAGATACCAAATTGAGAACTGATGTCATCAGGAAAGTCGTTGATGAAAATTAAGAACAAAATAGGTTCAAGGATAGATCCATGTGGTACACCTGCATTAGTACAAAAAGATCTAGAAGAGTGGCCATTCAGGATGACTTTCATTTTGCAATTAGACAAGAAAGACTGAATTAGTTCAAAAATTTGTCCAGAAATACCTCCAATTTGTGGAAAAAGTCATACTTTTGAGATATCCAAAGCAACAGCCTGAGCTTCATCAGTTTTAGATAAAGATTGATATACACACATTTTTTTTTTTAGCAATAATTGTTAGTACATTAGCAGTTGACCTAGAGAATTGAAAGCCATATTTCTTGTTTGTTGCTTAAACAATTTGGAGTAGATTAATGCCTCAAATATTTTACCAAAAAGAGGTAGAAGGATAATAGGTCAATAGTTTAAGTGGTCAGATGGTTCACCTATGTTTTTAAAAACTGAAACAGAGAAAGATTTCCAAGAAGCAGGAAAGTAAGAGGCAGTAAGGCATTTATTGTACAGTTTAGAGAGAACAAGAGTCAGTTTGGGAGCACATTTCTGGAGGACTATTACAGGGATACCATCAGGTCCACATGCTTTGTATGGATCCAGGTTAGATATAGCAGAAACCATAGAAGGAATTATATGTATATCACTCAACAGAGACTTAGATTCAAACAAGTTTTCTTAAATTCCACTGACAAGGCCTGTATATTCAACATTTTACTATATCTTTCCATTGAACAAAATTCATGTTTGTTTTTTTTGTTATGTTCAAGAACTTTTGACTATCTGTAGAAAAAATAAAACTGTCACAAATTCACAAAGCCACACATACAAATAGTCGCAGACCTACTCTTCCAGCAGTAAGCTTTCTTGCTCTTATCTTGTTCACCGCGACTGACTTTATATGCATTTGAGGGCAGGTATGCTAATCCATAGGCAGCACATCTTTGTTATTCTATCAACCATGTTGGCAGCAGATCTGGGCTAATCAATCAACTGTTTTCTGTTATAAATGACAGATCATTTGCATCATGAAGCCAATGTTATTGGCAGGTGAACACCCTGAGCAGCCTTTTTGAAGGTAAGTGGATTTTTTTCTGCACACTATCACAGTCATTGTCAAGAACTAGATGTTATAATTATAGTATCAATTTTTTAAAAAAATCTTGCTTCAGTCACTTAAGTGCCATCATGTCTCTTTTCACTCATGACTGACTAGATAGAAGATTTTTCTGCAGTAGGTTGCTGGTTTTTTTCTATGGTAGACTGCTTGCCATCCAAGGCTACTGACCCAGACTGTCCTGCTAATTGACCCATAGCTGGGAGGAGAAGAGATGTATGTATATTAGATCATTGAAAAAGTTTTTACCTGATCAGAATATTAAAAACAAAATTTTTATATACACACAAAAAACATTTAGTTAAGCACACAGACTTCATTGTTTTTAACAACTGTCTCCCATTGTTCTATTTTGTGGTGTCAACAAACACTTGTTGCCACTTTTGAAATGTCAATGAATACTCATTGTAATTTTCATAATGCTTGTTGTAGTAGAGACTTTGTAATCACAGATACAACTATAGTAACACTGTTGAACGATACCAGTGTCAGACAACTTCAAATAATCTTGCACTAATAGTACTTGCTTGATAATACTCGCTCGAAGAGTAACCACTGAATAGTAACCTGTATAGTGGTCAATATAGAAAATAGTATAGAGATTAGCAATCTGTATAGTAATAGAGGATAGATTAGAAATAATGATCCATATAGTAATAGAGGATAAAATAGAAATGGTAATCAATTAGATGCCATGCTAATTCCCATATATATATATATATATATATATATAGAAAAAGTTTCAAATTAAAAATTATAATGTTTTATTTATGAAAGTATTTATTTATTTATATAAATAAATAAATACTTTCATAAAATAAAAACATTATAATTTTTAATTTGAAACTTTTTCTATATATACATATTAAGAAAGTATACGTGGCTTCTCATTATGCTATATATATATATATATATATATATATATATTTTTTTTGGTGATCTGTGTTCAAACTCCAGTGTTGGCAGTGACACTTTATTTCTATATAACATTTTACAAGCTTCTTGATGCCATTTTTGAAGAAACTTCAGATTTTTTGTTGGAAGACGGTTATGAGGTAGTTTTCAGCTGACTGTATACATTCAAATTTTTTGTCATTTAAATTGTTCTGCAAAGACAAGAATAA